TAATTTTGAAGCACTTTACCATAGATCGGTAACATTGCAATAATGTTGCGTTTAACAATTTTAAAATTAAAATAAAACATGATTTTAGTTCATTAATTGGATGACAACCATATGACATTGTAACACAGATTTCCGTACCGAAGGTAAGAAACGTCGAACGTGGTCAGTGCCTAGATGGGTGAACGCTTAGGAATACCAATGGCTGTGAGCTTGGATGTGCGGGTGGTGTAATAGATAACAACTCGGACTTTTTTCATAGGAGAGCCGAGTTCGAAATCCAGTTAGGTTCGTTATATTTACTTACGCACAAATCCCCCACCCAGCTATGGGTTACGATCTAAAATTATTTTCTGGATTTAAATAACCTGTAATGGGTTGATAAGTTGTTGGTTGACTTTGTTGAGTGACATATTAACTTCTATGGGTTATTTAATGCCGAAATCTAAAAATTTAACACAATTTTATGGCTTTAACTAAATATATTTTGACCGTAATAGGATGCCTTCAACTACAGATAAAATGTATTGTTGGTCATTTTACTATAAAAATGTACTGTTGGTCTTTATATATATATATATATATATATATATATATATATATATAAACATGTATTGCTAGTATTTTACTATAAAATGTAATTTTATACTTTCGTTGTCTTTTGTTTGGAGGGGGGTGGTTCACTATTTACCCATAGCTGGGACCCTAGTGAATAAAAGCGTTAGTTGAAGTAATCCAGTGCCTTAACCCAAAGAGTTATGAGTTCAATACCAGGCCACAGCAGAGGTGAGCAAAAACATGTTGAGTTAAGTTACTAAAGACAACTGAAATATCCAGAAAAGGCACCGCATTTAGAATTAGAACAATTCTACCCCAGTGGACTAAAAAAGGTTAGGTTTGAAATTCAAACGCATATCACCTGAAGAAGACAATATATATATATATATATATATATATATATATATATATATATATATATATATATATATATATATTTATATATATATATATATATATATCTGTAATAATTGGTGGGGATCAGCTCATAAAAAGGTCTACCAAATAATTTTTATTTCCTTTTATTTTGTATTTAAATACAGAACACAAGGAATATAGTTTTAAAAATAGTATATTATTGCTAGTTTGTAATTAAACTCAAATCATAATTAAAAAAGATTTTATGGTAAGCTTCTAAATCTCTATTTAATTTAACCTACAACAAAAAATTACAAAAATATCAGCAACAACAACAATAATAATAATAAATACCTCTATTATTTAATTATTTTACATTTTAAAATTTAAATGACAAAAAAGAAAGAAAAAAGAAAATACAAACGAGAAACTTCTGAGGCAACTGTAACTTATTTTGTCTCGATTTTATTCTTGCAATGTTTCCTGTTGATTATTATTCATTTCATTTGATATCTTTCAAGAGTGAGCAAAACTTAACACACTGTCGGTAACTGCGACATTAAATAGTAGAGTCACAAGTCACATCTCTTTATCTATAAAGACATTGTCCAGCATACACTGTTATATAGGAGAGTTAATAAAGCACAATAGTTTCTTTTATTTTCTTTTTATTTGTTTCTAATCGGAATTTTCTATTTCTTAATACTTTATGTAGTTTTTGCAAGGCATGTTGTTAAGAAGCTTGGCGCTCTGAACTCAGAAGACGACGCGTTTTGTCGAATCTCCAAAAAATTAACGCATTTTAAATTTAACTGAAGAAGGCCAGAGCATACCGTTGTACGCTCCAGCCTTCTTCAGGTGGTACATACGGTCGAAACGTCGCGAATATAACAGTAAAGACGATGACAACAGTCTGAGCAATGTAAATAGTGTAAATAGTTACAGAACCTCATACCTCAGGTAGTTTGGAAAATTATAGGTTCTGAACGAACCCCCAATAGTTTTAGAGATAGGTGTGATTTATGTTTAGAAGAAAAGATTAGAATAATAAAATACAATAATGAAATCCAACTATTGAATCAGAGGAATGAATTAGTGTTAAAATGTCGACATAAGAACAAATTCAAATTTCCATCATATAGATTTACTTTAATTAGCTACCCCAAATCACTACCCTCTAACTCTTGAAATGCCGATAGAAAAACCAAAAACGAATTCTAATTTCCGTATTGAAATTCCCAACCCCCGACAAAAAACTTTTTATACTATATTAATTATATTTTATAAGTTTTCCCTACTTGAATATCTCCCTAACTAATTCATTAACTCCTTACATCCTTATATATATATATATTTTAAATTTATTTTGTGATTCATTTTTTATTTATTTTTATTTTTAAATTAAAAATTCATTTGTTTCATATGACCCTAAATTGGCATCATGAGGTTAATACTCGGGTTTATTTTAATAAAACTTCTTGCCTTTAAGACAGATAACTTCCACCCTCCCCGACCAATATTTCGTGTCTTTCGTGTCATTGAAATGTGTAAATTCTATTAGCTGTTTTCAGCAAGTTGTATTTCGGTTGATTTTTTATCTTTCACGATTAAATTCTACTTCGTCAACTAAGTTATAGACATGAACTTATTACACATAAGACAGACGAACGATATCATCGTCAGTCGAAATAGATTATTCTCCATATGAGGTAATTTGGTATATATATATATATATATATATATATATACAAGTATAGGATTGGGGTATACGGAATAAATTCCAATAACAACAAATACTATTCTTAAAAGAGTGCTCAGTTGAGAGTAGAGCAAATATAATTATTTACTCGAAAATTATAACGTAAACAAAAATAGCCATTTGGTTTCAACACTTCTGGTCAGAAGTGTTGAAACAAAATGGTTATTTTTATAGTGATTTTACAACATGTTTATGTTATAATTTTCGAGTAAATAATTATATATATATATATATATATATATATATATATATATATATATATATATATACGGGGGCCGATGGGTAAATTATCACCATTTTATATTTTACTTTCGGCATGTGCGTTGATTTTATTTGACATTTGGTTTTGTCGACTGCACATTATAGTAGGGTCAGTTGGGCACCGTTTATGAGAAAAAGAGCACCATGTCGTAATTCACTCCGCCAGAAATTTGGAAACAGCATGCTGGACTGTTTGGCATTCGTGCCGGAAGCTACAATACGAACATTTGAGAATGTTTCAGAGTATATCAATCTATGTCAATTATACAATGTGTTTTGGGGGATCTTCGATCATTATATCTGAATGGGTAGCCTTGTTTATTCTGTCTTGATCTATTGTAAAACCTTATAAAATTGTTACAGATTCTACAGGGTGCGGTGGGTAAATTGTCGCAATTTTATATATTTATTTTCGCGCATGCGCGTTGTTTGTTTTTATTTTGTCGATTGCACGGTATAGTAGAATTTTGATGTCAACCTGAGGAGAATACTTAGGATTAAGAAAGAGTCGGATGAGTCTAATGGTGATTAAGAAGGTACGGCAGCTCAGAAAAAATGTTCTGATAAGAAAAGAACTGCTGAATTTGTTGGTGAGGCCCTATGTCTGGCATCAGGATTCTGCACCATACCACACTATCAGAAGAGCCCAGTCATAGCTGTGAAATAATTTATACGACTACATCACCCCTTATATCTAGCCAGGTAACTCCACAGACTGCAACCCCCCCCACTTGATTATTATGCGTGGGTCGCAGTTGAGCAAGAGACAACAAAATTCCTTGTAACACCAAAGATGAACTGAAGGCAAGGATTATGACAGCATTCAGAAATTTAAACAAGGAGACTGTTCAGAAGAGATGCAGGAGATTCCGAAGTCGTCTGGAGGCCAATGGCGATTTTATTGAATACATTTAGTATTTCAAGATATATTTGTATAATTTTGGTTAAAATAAAATGACAGTGTTATTTCCTTTTCTTTTCTTTTTTTCTTGCGTAAATTAGACGACAATTTATCCATCGCACCCTGCAAATAGACAGAGACAGAAATACAAGGAAACTTTACAAATAAACTTATTCCTAAGTGATTCGTGAAAGACATTCAACCTCTGGTGACGTCTGTTGATATCTACGCATACCCATGAACACACACACACACACACACACACACACACACACACATATATATATATATATATATATATATATATATATATATGGTGTGCGTCTGTGAGTGAAACAATTCAAGAAAGACATCTGGGTCACTAACACACAAAAATAGAATGTCTCATATCGAGAATATTTAACATCGAAAAACATAAGAAAAAAATTGATTATTTTTAACAATATGCGGAAATCTTGACGCTTTGCCTGATGATGGTCGCGAGACCGGAAACTCGTGCAGCAAAATTATGGAAAATAAAGCATAATATTTAAAAAAGTCCACATTACAACCAAAAAACTTTTGCGGTTTCTCTTCTTTTAATATATATATATATATATATATATATATATATATATATATATATATATATTCAGTTTATGGATATTTGTGACCCTGGGTGTCACGCTTTTGCGATCATCAGACAAACTGGTTTATTTTTTTTAAATTTGGATCTATTTATGTTTCTTTGTGTTTGATTATGTTTGGTGGTGGGAGGGGGAATTTTCTGTGTTTGTTTGAGATGATACTCGCACACACACACACACACACACGCACATACACATACACATACACACAGACATATATATATATATATGTGAGGAAATTGATGAATTTTTATCTATTAATCCGTGGGATTTTATTACTTAAACGTTATTTTTTGTTGATACCATACTTGAGTCGAAGTAGGTTCGAATCCTGCTGGAGAGCGCATATTTTTATTAATAAAATATTCAGGCTGGTAGACAAAATAAATAAATATACTGTTTAATAAATAAATGAAGTGTCTACACATATATGGGTATCCACTAAAAATATGGTTTAAGTAATATATATATATATATATATATATATATATATATATATATATATAAAAAGGAAAGCAATATTATTTTTCTTTTCATTCAGGTCTTCGCAAAAGCAAAAGCAGTTAAATAAAAATGTCTTTATCTCTTTAATGTCTTTATCTTCATTTCTTTTTCCTGTATGGCAAACTTCAATTTAATTCGTAACAATAAATTACTTTCATGAGACGATTGTTGTATCTCCTTCATTTTTATTATTATTATTATTATTATTATTATTATTTGCACTCGTCTTTGTGTTATTTTTAACCCATTGTATTATTAATATTATAATCATGTGCTGGGCAAGATGTCTTAATTACTGTTGGAATTTTCAGTTGATCTCCGATCGTTGTATAATAAAATTCATTTTATATTTGACATTTTAATGTTTACATTTATAGTTCATTTATAACTTAATCTCTCCATCCACAATTTTTAATTTTTCACTTTTCTTTCTTTCTTTCTTTCTTTCTTTCTTTCTTTCTTTCTTTCTTTCGTCTTATCCCTCTCTCTCTCCACACCAATTTTGTTCATATGCCATTTTACTTTCTCCAGAAATACCTAATCTAATATCATTCTTCACGTTCAAATAAGTTGCATCAAATTTTCAAATCTTAAACTACCAATCATGTGGTTAATTTTGCTATCAAATTTGAAAACGATTGGACAAAAATTGAAACATATTATTGGATTATTATTATTATTATATTTATTATTATTATTGTTGTTGTTGAAATTAAAATTGTTTCTTTGATTTGTTTAATAAATTATTTCAAGTGTTTTTAATGACAGACAATAAATGGCTTTTAATCATTCCCGTTGAACTGATTTTGCCGATGTTACTCTCTTCCCGCTAATTTTTCACGTCAGTTTTATCTCGTAACTTTCAATGGCGGTCAAGTGACAGTAGATAATTCCAATTTTCACTATTCTCATTATTCAATTGTTATTATTATTCATCAATTAAGTGTTAGTACCAGTAGAGTAACTGATGGCTTAATCCAGAGATTAAGTGACACGAAGTCTCCTTGATCCTCCCAAATTCTTTTTAATATTTTACCCTTTTTTCAGTAATGGTGCCATCTTCTCTGTGCCTCATTTAAACCGCTGATTTTCAGTTCCGCCAGTTTTTTTTTCTATAATTCTTGGGACTGTTAGCAGTACTCCGATAACGACTGGTATTACTGTCCACTTGATGTTTATTAGTTTTGAGTTTTATCTTTAATTTCCAGATCCACCAATCTTACCCATCGTACTCTATATATTGTTGTTCGGAAAATAAAGCCCGATTTTAAAATAAACCTTTTGTAGTTCTAAGATAATATTATGATAGTTGCAAAAAATGTATGACTCATTCGTAATGATCAAAGGATCCTCGTTGTTAATGTTATATCAATCTCTTTAAGAATTTAATTTAAAACATTATATACCACTTCATCTTGAATATGATAAAAAAGAGATGCGTTTATTTTTTTTTTCTTTGCATGTGTTCTAGCTTGGACATAATCAAATTGTTGTTAACATTAACAGATCATGTCATGAAGAGTAACAATTGTGATCGGAATGTACGGTGTTAGTTTCTGAAGTTCCGCAGTGGGGATACGAGTCTTGAAAATCAAAGCGCTAGACGACGTCCATCTGCAATTGACAATCAACATCTGAAAACATTAATCAAACAAAAACCCACGTCAAAGTGTCATAGAAATATATCAGATAATGGTTGCTAGCTTTTCAACAAAATGTCGGACAATCTGAAGAAAATTGGTAAAGGGGGAAACTCGATAAATGGATTCCACATGAACTCAGTGAAAGTCAAAGATTTCTACGTTTTGAAATGTGTTCGCTGTTGCATTTGCGAAATTCGAATGATCCATTTCTTGATGGAATAATGTCTTTTGATGAGAAATGGATTCATTATGAGAATTATAAATGATCGGTTTATAGACTTGATCATGAAGGATCAAAAATCTTTCCAAAACCGAAATTGCACCATTTGGGAGATTATGATGATTGTCTGCTGGTCCGACATTGGCGCTATCCATTACAGCTTTTTGATATCTAAGCAGAGTATCATTGTCGAAGTTTATTTACCAACAATTGAATGAAATATACATATGTTTTATAGATTGTTCGATTTTGGTCGTAAGTTCGATTTTTTATAAGTGAATTATTATTGCGTTATTTTATAAGGATGAAATGTTTTGATAGTTATTTCAATTTTTTAAATCATTATTTTTAGTTTTAAATACCTTACGACGTGGGTTGCTAAAAAGTCCTAAGTGCGAGCCATTTCTCCAAACTTGAAGTACAAAATTATTTTTGGAGTCCATATTTGATTGTGTCTAGAAAATTTCAACGCACCCTTACAATTTATATTTTTATCTAAACTGCAGTTGCCCACCCCCCTTAACTAATTGTACATCTAGGTAATTGCGCATCTTACTGAGTAGGTGCGCTGTTCTCCTGTTCAATAATAATAATAATAATAATAATAATAGGTTTCATTGTTTATGAGCTCCTGCCAATGATTCACTAATTTTTTAATGCCTCGACGATAGAAGTCACTAGGTTTTGACTTGAAAACTTCAAGCCACGTTTCATGCTCTACATCGTTGTTGAACGAAACACCCCTCGAATTGTTAGAAAGTGACATAAAAAGAGTGGTAGTCTGAAGGGGATAAATCAGAAGACTACGGTGGTGTGGCAGAACTTAATAACCGAGTTATTTAACTGTATGCTTAGTCATGTTAACGATGTTGTTGTAGGCATTATCATGTTGAATGATCATATTGTATTGCCGTTAAGGTCTTTTCAGCTGAATTGCCTTTTTGAGTCTCTGTTCATTTGTTCAACATACAGCTTAGCATTGATCGTTTGGTTGTCTTGAAGCATTTCATATTTCATCGGCAATGAAATCATCTCCGTGCACAGCACACATGTCTCGAGCAGCTTTGTGACCGTGATTAAAAGCAAAGAGATGTAGATGTCTAACATGCTCATTCTTGTCTACTTGGTATTTCATCTCAAAGAGGTACCATTATGTGCCATTCTGTCTGTAACGTAGACAGCACAAATGTCACGAGCAGCTTTGTGAGCAAAGACGTCAAACGTGTTCATTCTTGTCTAATTGGCATTCCATCTCAAAGGTGGTGTCTAATCTGAAATGAAATTTTTATAACATTTCACAGGATGACCAGAGTTACTATGAAGCACAAAAATTCTACGAAAGCTTATTCTTCAAGATTATTCGCAGATTATTAGGGAAACGAAGGAATATATGTAATAACTTAATAAATGAGAAGGAATATCATATAAACTTGAAAAAGATAAGAGACGGATACATTATCATTGTTTTGTCATTGTTACGTATAAGAAGAAACACACATACATATATGCGCATGCGTATAGAAGGAGGAATGGGTAAATTGTCGTATAAAGGACGTAAAACTGAAAATAACACTAACATCTCATTTAAACAGATATATTTACCAAAATTATGCAAAAATATCTTGAAATTCTAAAAAGTAAATTTATTCAATAAAATCACCATGAGCTTCAACCACGGCCTCAAGATGACTTCGGAATCTTCTGCAACTCTTCTGGATGGTCTTTAGCTATTTGTGTTTATTGAATTCAGGAGTAGAGAATCGTCTGGTTCACACTCCTCCCTGGTATTTTGAGCAGAAGTTTATCCCGTGTTACCTGTTTGGGATTGGGTTTCCGGTTCTTTCTAAAGTTTTTACTCCTTTCTTCACTTTTACTTCCAAGCCCCTTGAATCTTAGTGGCATTATCGCCTTGGATGGAGCGAATTGATTAAAAAAAAAAAGTTTTATTCTCCCCGTCCCGCACACACAAACACGCGCATGCGCACAAATACATACATAAAAAGCAAATATATTTTCTGTTATTTCATCTTCTTTATTGACATTTTTCTTCTTTTTTGAGTTAATTTATTACGTCCTTTCGACCTTTCGTTCACCCACCAATAATCTACATACAGCCCTATCTTCTGTACGATATGCTCATCTCCTCCCGCGACACACACCCACATCAACCTTTTCGGATCGATCCAAAGCCCAAACAGAGATGGTAGCTACCGATGCGGTTGTCGGCGTCGACAGCAGTGTGGTTGCAAAGCAGGCGTACCGTCGACCGCTTTCACCTGTTTGCCGCTCCGCCCTGCCTGGAAGCGAGCGAGTAGCCCACAAAGCAAATAGGCTTTTCATAAGCAAACCAAAGAACAAATGAACCCATTCCTGCGCCTTCCATCTCTCCCCTTCCTTACAGGATCCTCGGAGCGGCGTATCTCATCGCCTCGCCCTTCCGATTGACTCAGACTTCACGCTTCACTGATTCAAATGCTGGGCGAGCCATGTATTTACTTTCTGCCTCCGTTTGTTTGTTTGTCCTTATTTTTATTTTTAAGTTAATCGCGTCTTAAAAAAAAAATTACTCCATTCAATGATCGACCTCCAATATTTTTCCTGTATTCACTACGACCTTTTTTTTGTTTCCTTTTCTGTTTCTTTTTTATTTTTATTTTCTGTTTCTTTTTACTGCTGTTGCTGTTGTCTGTATTTCTTTAAATGGTTCAACACGAGTGTCAAGACTTCTGTTGTGTAGGAGGAACAGGAAAATAAAATGAATTAAAAGGGAAAGATAACGAGAGCCAACAAAACGAAAATAAAAATGAATATGTGTTTATTTCTAAAATATCATAATATAATTCATCTTCTTCATCCGTTAGTTAGTAACTTAGTAAGTCAGCATGCTAGTTACGCCTTGACGTTACTACCTCAGATAAATAATAAACCATTCCATTTTGATTGCGAGGAAAGACGGTCGTACGGAAAAGATATATCAGAGATAACGTGTCATCATAAAAAGAAAGCAAACAAGCAAGAAATAAATAAAGAGAGAGAATATAGAGGAAGTGATAATGGTCTCATGTGTTTAACGTCTGCTTCGTGAAATGGAAATGCTTCTCAATTTCGCATCTTTTTCAATTGAAAAGGTCAGATAAATAATAAAGCATTTGATTTTGACTGCGAAGAAGGACGCAAGAAAACGATATATTAGAGTCGCTGTTCGAAAAGAAACATGAAACAAGATGACATTTATAGATTAGTATTTACGCACCGTCCCACGATGAAGAGAACGACAGTTTTATGCGCCTGCGTATAGACCAAGAACAACAAATTACCTGGTCACCGAGACCAGTGTCACGCTGGCTTTGGTATCAATGATAATTATAATAAAATGAGGGCGATTCTGCCATAGGATTGAAATCCCCCGAACTAAGCATCACTTATTACGTAAATGATGCCTCATCTGTGAATTATCTGAACATATGTTGTAAATGATGCCCGATTTGTGAAATGCCCGAATATATAATAAGTGATGCACATTCTGTGATCTACACGGACTTATTTAGTATGTGATATCACGTCTGTGAACTGCCCGAATATATGTAATAAATGGTCTAGTCTGTGGACTGCCCAAACTTATGTAATAAGTGATAACTCGTTCGTGAACTGCCCGAACTTATGCAATAAGTGAGTCCTAGTCTGTGATTTGTTCGGATTTATGTAA